AAGCGTTTTAGGGGCCAACCCAGATTACACCCATTGAGAAAAGCTCCAAGTGGGTTGGTAGTCCTTTAACAGGGCCCCTTCGGCACCAGCAAGCTTCACTTTTCCACACCTGGCAACGTGGATTTGCTTCTTGGCTGGAAGTTAAGGAGCCTTATTCCCTAACCCCAGTAAGAGGATGATGGTATGGGACATTGCAATTCTGTTAGGTACCCATGTTAATGGATCAACAAGGGCAATTTAACGTGTGCGCCTTGCTGCTTCCTAGGTTTAGAACTGAAGCTGCTTCTTTACCTACAAGGTCTCAAGCAAGCCTCTCCCACATCGGTCATATTTTTGAGAAATGCTTTCGGTCTTCAGCTCACTGGAAGGCCTAGTGACAATCTTGAAATGATGGTTGCTTACCCCCCCAAAGGGTTGTGACTAGCAAGTTGCAAGTTAGGTTGGGGTTTCAGGTTCCAAGATGCCTTCTTTTTTGGACCAAAGCCTGTCCTAGACGTGTATCCCAGCTCAGGATACTCATCATCATGCTGGGGCTGCCTCGGTAAGTGTTGTTCGTATCGGAGTTTAGTACTTGCAGGAGCTACGCTGAAGTTTGGGCTACATGAGGCGGTCTTTGATGTTGCACGCGGATACATTTAGGCCTGCTTGGGGTTCTCGTTAGTGTCTATGCAAAATGTCGATCCTGAATATGATTTGCTGTTTACAGTGACATGGATCCTGGAATTCTGCGCCGAAGCTGGTGCCCCTTGTTACTTGCCCCTGATTTTTGCAAACCCAAAACTTCAAAACTCCCTAATTAAACCGTGTAAATACCGCCCTATAATATTATGACCCCTAAACCCTAAACCCCTGTCCCCTTTAAAGGAACTCCCGCCCAAGATGGCCCCAGGAAAGCGATTTCACAGCTCCGGGCCGTGGTTTTCCCGCTTTCCCCGCGCATGGGCTTCGTGGAATTCGTTCACAAGCCCAATAAGATACTCGCCTGACACGGGTTAGGGTTACATAGGGCTACAGTCCTCCTTAACTTAAGTAAATAGAATATGGCTGTGGATATATTACAATAAGATCCATAGTTTTTAAGGGGACGATATTGACTATATGTAGGGCTATGTATGGCTAAGGGTTTAGGGTGGTTGTATAGGGTCATATGGATTATATGGGGTTATATGGAGTTGTAGGAGGTTTTGGCTTATATGAAGTAGGGTTTCATTATGGATTTGGGTGAGTGTACACAGGGCTCCTTAGTGTATACATTCAGAATCCATTCTGGAACCGTAACGTAAATCCTACCATGTAAAGGCAGGTGAAAGGGTGTAGGGTAGAAGAATGGAGTATCAAATGAAAAAAATGACAGTGGTTTGTGCATTTTAGGGCGGTTTAACCAGGTAATTTCCGATAGTCTCTTGAACTTTTCTGTTATCGATCGCGCTCGTGTTTGGTAGAACGCCTTGTCTGGTATGAGGGAGTGCCCCAACATCAGGGGAGATCCTGTGGGGAGTGAAGAATGCAGAAGTCTGAAGAGTTGCCAGTCCTAGTCCCTAATGGTTCTTGTAAAGCTATATTAGTAGATCCCCCCAACACCTTATTCTAGTTATCTAGGCCCCTACACCCTGGATACCTCATAAATCACACGTTGAAAGCCCGAGGAAAGCCAAGGACTACGATCCTACGAAGAGGCGCCAAGTTCCACGTCGCTGAAGGGTTTAGGGTTTAGGGCTTAGGGTTTAAGGGATCTTCATGAGAGGGCTTTGGCAACCCCAATCCATATTTATGGAGAGTCAAATGGAAAAAGACATGAACAACAAAATGAACACTCGGTTTTAGAGTGGCTTTGCGGGGATCTGGGGAAATCTCCATCTCAAAAAGTAGGACCCTTTATAGCCATACGAGAACTAAAAGGCGTTAATTTGCGGGTTTGGGACTGCCAAAAAAAAACCTTATTAACTGAGCCAAGGCTGGAACAGAAGACCCCGATCCCTGCTTAGAATTTTGGGGGGCCCTGAATGGTAAAAGGAGCTTATCCTGGCAAGCCCCAACGAGTACAGCGTTGGGTAGCAAGGCTCTTTGCAACTTTTGCTCTCAGATCCTTGGGCATTTCAGTTGTACCAGCAGAGGACCCGCCAAGGGCCTCTTGTAATGAAGGCTGGTCCTCGCAAGAAGAGCATGTTACAGGGTCCCCGATAGATTTTGAGCGTGTCCACTGCATCCGACCTACATACACCAAAGCATGTAATCTTCACCCTGGCAGCCATAGCAGTCCTAGAAGGGACCCCCAAGGCCCGTCAGCTTTCAAAGGGGGGGGTTCACAAAATTAGGGGTACCTTCTTGGAGGTCCATATCATAAGGCCTCTAGTGTTGTGGGGTCTATATTGGAGCCCCCTATTTGGGGAAATTACCAGAGTCTCAGCGGCCTGGAATTTCAGTTTGGTGCGATTACGCGGAAACCTGTGAGGCACCATTTTCACGGGTTAGGGTTTAGGGACCGTAGCGGCTAACAAAATGGAAACGAAAGTGGCCATGATGTGGAAACTATGGAGAACCAAATGCAACCAAAAGCGGAAAGGACATGGAAACTGAAGATATATGGGGATTATACAGGGCTCTGGCGGACCTGAACTTGGTTAACATAATGTGGATGATAATACGGTTTCTGTATACAAGTCATATCATTGAAGTTTCTTAACAACAATGCAGATTATTAGCTTGCACTTTGGGATAGATTTGTGATCTTCTTTCTCTTTGTAGCAGGGAACCTGTGCAAAAAGTAGGCATGGGCCTTTACAGTACCACCCAGCTTGGTAGCAGGTTAGGTAGTCAGGCTCTTGCATCGCATGCCTCTAGATCCTCGCCCAGACCCCAAATCAATCCAGAAATTCGATCCGCTAGAAGACCATGCGGATTCATATAGGGATCATGTGTACAGGATCTCATGTGTAGATTCCCTCCGCTTTATAATACACAGTACAGAGATCGAGAGGCGCCGGCGGAAGGAAATTCATCGCGAGCTCTTCTTCCAGACCTTCCCCACTCTTGGCGTGGAACCGCACTTGGCAGACAGGCATGCAGCGGTGCAATTCTGAGTCAAGGATAGTTCAAAAACAGACTGTTTCTATGATTGCCTTTGCCCCTAGACAAGCTTAAGTACATATTTGGAGATGCATTCTCCAAAATGTACTTATGGGGACGAAGAGCGTTGTAATCGCTGTTTTGAGGTACATGTTGGATGCTCAGCAGATGCAAGCCCATCGTTGAACTCATCAAAGAGTTGGCCAAGCAAGAATTTGTGGGCGGGCTGTCTGCCATCTATGTAGAAAATGGTACAGTGTGTATTTTCTGCACGCAGCTGCGAAAGCCCGAAACACCAGCCTACATGCGCTCTGAACCTCGTCACCCACAGGCATGCACTCGACATTTTCTCCCTGAAGCAACCACCCAGAGGCCCCTTCAACGCAGGCACCCTTTCAAAGCGAAAGCTCCGGCAGGCCGCAGGACACTCTGCCCGGGGTTGCCTACCTCTGGCGAGCCAGTCGCCAGGCTGTTATACCAGACCCTCCGAAGAGCAGTTTTGCATGGTCAGGGCTTAAGCCCCTCTGAGAATTCCTAGGGTGGCGCTTTTCAGATGGTCAACCCTTGAGTGGGTTTGAGATACTGTGGAGCCTCCGGGAGTATTCGGGCAGCCCCCTTAGGACCTTATGGGTTCTTCTCAAACTTACAATGTCCATCTTTGGGGGGATTTCGCACAAGGGGTCGCTGATGTTAACTTCACCAACTACCAAGAGGGTGCTCACTATGTAAGATTTTCAAGCAAGTAGATTTGAGGATGACCAGACTTCAGTTTGAATGTCAGAGTGAAAAACTAAAACCCGAAACATTTAAACCGCAAGTTCTGGACTCCTGACTACCTGGTTGCAAACTCACCTTACACATTATGGTAGTCTGCCAAATAGGGGGATCCCAATATAGATCCCAATATACGATAGCCCTTACTATAGGGAACCACAAAAAAGTACACCAGATTTTGGGGAACATATACGATAGTCCTTATTATAGGGAACCCAATATCAATACACCAGATTCTGGGGAAGGACCATATTTTCCCTATAGGTCATCATGATGAGTTCAACTTCGACCTCCAGCCTGAGGAGGCAGCTGAACAGCAAAGATGACGTGAAAGCCGTGTTTGTAGTAAGAGGAATATCCACAATAATGGGGTATCCAAGGAAAAACATAGATTGAGAGCGTTTATTTTCGGGTGGTGTTCATCATTGCAGGAGGGGGCCATAGACGGTGCAACTTCGGGAATGTTTCATGATTAGGGGAGGGCGCTTACGAAGTCATAGCCCCACATGATGGTACATATGATGGCAGCCCATACTGCAAGAGAAGAAACAGAAGAAAAAGAGAAACAAATGCATCAGTAGCAATCTGAGGCTCATCTTACTGGTGGATAGTAGGGAATGAGGGAATAAGATCCCTATATAACCGCTAGAAAAAAACCCTTAACCACAGTGAATAATGCTTTCAGGGAGAGCGGGTGCTCCGTCATGAGGCCCAGGCCATATTCGTATCATGACCACAAGAAGCCCAAGCATGACCGGTATCAGGAAACTGTCAGGTACCTCTTTGCGGTCCCCATAATAAGGAGTATGGTATTTTGGGGTTTATATTGCCCCTAGAGGGGAAGTGCAGGTATTCGAAAAGCGCATGCCCTATGCGTTCGCAGAGTTCTTTGGCAGCTTCGAACAGACCGGGGCCGTCCTGTATCCGCCCCCGGCATGCTACAAGTACTACGAGAACAAGGCCCACAGGGCGGTCAAAGCTGTTGGAATTGGTTTAGGGTTTAGGGTTTTCCTAAGTTTGAAGAGGTTTGAAGCTTGCACTGCATCAGGAGGCTCACTGATGTAAAAGCATCTGCAAGCATCTCAACACCAAGGCTCTAGGTACTTTCAACTGTGCAAGGACTCCCCTATCTTCAGTAGTAGCAATCTGCAGTACTAATAAGAGGAATAGACGGAAGACTCAGTCAAAGTAAATCACCATAAGACTGCTAGTAGCAGCAACAACAACAATATTGTAGCGAAAATTAATTAATGACTAGAATTACACCAACAATACATAGTTATATATGAAAATATATTTCCAATAATAGTAATGGTCATATAGTATAACATCTTATATGATAATGAAACCCTAAACCTTAAACCCTAAACCCTAAACCCTAAACCTAGATAGTAGCCTCTATGCCCAAGACTGTTCTGCCAGGTTGCGCTGACAGAGCTCTTCCAAGGAGCCCACGTGCAGATGCCGATGACCTGGGTCCCTCTGCCAAAGTGGTAGGGTTGTATTGGGATTCTATTGGGGTTATATTTAGGGATAATGGAAAAGAAAATGGAAACTATTATAGGGTTTAGGGGTTTGGGGTTTAGGGTTTGAGGTTTTGGGTTTGGGGTTTAGGGTTTGAGGTTTTGGGCTTGAGGTTTAGGGTTTGGGGTTTAGGGTGTAGGGTTTTCATCCAGAAAAGTGGGAGGTGTTGGCCTTTTTTTGGGCGTCCCCAGTATAAGGATTCTAGTGCTTTGGGAATTTTATTGGGGTTCCTGCTTCTACCCTACTCCAAAGGTTTTGGGCTGACGGAGGCAAGTTCATGCAAGAATCTCGCCCAGCCCCGAACAAAGCGAGATCAAGTTGGAGGTCAGGGGGACCTGGTAACTAGGCGAAGAACCTCTATAGCCCATATAGTAACCCTAGTCATCCCATCTATTACCCTACTTACTAAAACCCCTGACCCCCCAAGAAGGGCCCACAGTCATTCCCCAAGGTTGCCTGACGGCCAAAGCCTATGATCCCACAACCCTTGATGCACACTCTGAAATCCCAACTCCTCAAATCTAAAGCCCCTCAACCCCAAAATGCCTTTCCCAAAACCAACCCCGCCCCCCTGCCGAAAGGAGAAAAGCACTAAAAAGACTACAGCCGGCTTGAATTGTGGCTACACAGGGTTCCATACCTGCTCCGGGAGGAGTACTAGAACACATTGCTCGCCTAAGCTCTGAGGTCTTCCGCAATCTGGCGGACGCCATGGCACGCAAAGCGGAAGTACAACTGCCTGTGGTCATCAAGGACGATACCATCATGGGCTAATTATCCCTAAGTAACCTTAATTAAGGGGGGAACCTAGGGGGTAGTATAGAGGGGCATAGTAGGGGAACCCATGATACAACAGTTGGGAGTGGAGGGTCTTCTTGCAGAAGCCTCGTGATTCCAGGCCTTGATTTGCGCTCACCTTTGTTTTAGGTTGATTCTTAAGCGGTGGGCTGCCACCGCTCTCCCCTTCCCCCTGCCTGTACTTCACGGGGTAGGGTCATGGAAGCCGAACAAATTCTGGTGTTTAGGGATAGAAAGCGCTTGTCCACAAAAGAGAGATACCTGGCGTTGATCGTGTGTTGTAAGTGCCCGGGATTAGGGAAAGCGCAGATCCACCGCAGGATTTGCCTGTTCAGGTGTGTGACTGCGCAAGCGTATAAATGATACAGGCTTAGAGACCCCAGGGGTGTGCTAAGTTGATGACGATGTGAGTCAAAACCATGGCTCTTTTTCCATACTCCATCAATTAGCAGAAATCAAGTTGCCTGATAGCCTACAAGTATCCATCTTGGTCACCCATCCTTGGAAGGGCTGGCCCCCGAATACTGAGCACCAGGTGCGCGGCCCTTACAAATGGCCTGGCTCCCTCCAACCTAATCCTTAATTAAGCCCCTCAACTCCCAACCCCCCAAAACGACGCGCCATAAACCTCTACTCGACACCCCGCAGCAGTTCTACCCAAAATCCATGACCCTATGGTTCTAAATCCCAAAACCCTGAAAGCCTTCATCTGAATCCCCTCACTTCCCGATCGGGAGGATCCATATGGCTACTCCAGCATTGGCCTGCTCCACGCTCAGGGCTTCTGGGGTTGGAGGTTTAGGGGCTTCGGGCTTTCGGGGTCAAGACTTCAAAGCTTTGGATGTGGGATTAGGCTTTGTTGGGGAGGTTGCAAGTGGGGATTGGGGCACGTTCCATAATAGGACACGCAGCTCATCTTGATAATCAACATCCCGCACGGGCAGGAGAAAGAATCAGGCAAAATATTCTGATCTGCCCCTGTTGAACCCTGATGCATGCTTACGAAAATCCTAAATCCGCTTATCCCAAGTCTTGCCGTTGAAGGTGGAAAGAAATGTCAGAAGCTAAAAAACCTAAAGGAGAACTGCTAGAGATGATCAACACTTGCCATAAAGATCTATACCACGAGCACTTAAGCCTTAATCCTAGATCCCAGGCGCTTAATCTTAATTGCACCCTTGGCCCTATACCGCCAACATCCCTCAACCCTAAGCCAAAACTCCTATTCGCCTAAATCCGAGTCTAGGAGGTAAGGGCTTCTGCAGGCTTGTCCAACAAAGTTTGATTGCAGCCTCAGGCTTGGGGGTGCGGGGGGGGGGGTCTTCGAGATTTAGGCTTTCAAGTTCTACGAGAAGGACTTGGCATGTGGGTTTGGGGATTTCTGAAGTTTAAGAGCCCAGGGAAGGAAAGTCGGTGCGTATAGGATGTTTATGCTCAAGCAGTAGAAAATGCTCATCCCAAGTTGGTTCCCACAAAAATTACTGAGAACTGCTTGTGAAGGGTAGGAGGCCCGTTCGTGGCTTAAAGCAAAAACATATCTTCCTCCCAGGGGTTTCTCAAGTGCTTTGAGACATAGTAGTAAATTTGCAGCTTTGAGTCGGGTTGCTTGTGGCCCCGGGGTTAGTGAGCCGCTCCGTGCAATACACCTTGAATCCCAAGCTCTCTAACCTAGGTACCCCAGTACCGGGGAACCTAGCAACCAAAGAAAATCCAGCCCTTAAGACTGCACGCGCAAGAAATCTCTCCCTGGCCTTTTCGCAGGTTGCAGGCGGAGACAACATCAGAGTTGACAGAGGCCCTAAGCAGCTGGGGTATGAACCCTAAACCCTGAACCCTAAACCCCAAACCCTAAACCCTAAACAAGCTGCGGGATGTCTAAAGAGGCGCTAGCAGGTTTGCCCAGAATTGGAAGTAAGAGGTGGCTAGAAAGGGAGCTCAGTTTCGCGATATCCCATTTTGTGGGCTAGAGGATTTCTGGAGCTTGCAGATTCTGGGGTGAGGGGTAGTCCTTATGCCGGCGGCTTTTGGTAGAATTGTTGAAGATGCATCCGCAGCTTCATCCGTTCCCTGCAAGACCCAGCACCCGGTCCGCTCCTTCCTGGGACCATCCTGCGAGGTCTCCATAGCATCATCAGTCGTCAGCCAGTGTCAGAAGCCATTCTCTTCAAAGCCTCGTTGCTTAGACTTTTCTTATTGTTGGCTAGTAGGGAATAAAGGAACATATTACATAGGGATGATATTCCCGTAGTTCCTTTCCGGAACCCAACCCGCTTCATTTTTGGGGGCGCTGTGCCAGGCGTTGAAGGAGTTCTTCTCCAAGGCAAGAATGGGTTTCAGTGCTGAGTACGCACTTCATCTGCCAGATGTCACAATGTCCAGCTGTGGACATGTTTTTCTTGGAATCCCAAGAGGCCAACACCTTTGATCGTTCCTATGTGTTGAGTTTCGAGTTAGCAGTTCTCATGGCCATCCCCAGTCGGAAGAGTTGTTTAAGCCCCCCCCTGATCAGTGAAAATCAAATGGACAATGAAAGGGAAACTATCAGTAGATAGAGGGTGCATACAGATGTCTTTAGAAAGGGAAGTCTACAAAGCCGTGGTTGGCTTCCTGAAGAGTATGTTATGGAGGTTTCCCAAAGTTGCAAGTTCCTGTTTGGGGGTACCAATGACAATGAGTTCTTTAGATGTAGGTAAGGTTCACCTTACCAATCTTTATAGACAAAACCCTATCAGATGCTTTTTTTGGTGAAGGCCAAGCCAGGGGTGGAGGCCCTGGTGCAGAAAAAAGTCCAAGCCTTGCGCGAGGCCATTCCATTTGGCGGAGTTGTTTTTTGAGGGGTTCAGGGATGATGGAAGACGGTTTAGAGTTTTCTCGTATAATTAGGGAGCTGAGGGGTTTAGGGATTTGGCGTCGGGTTTGAGGGAATTTTAGGGTCTAGGGTTGACGGTGCTACACGGGAGCCCGTTGTGGTTCTTCGAATGCTGTAAGGTGCTAGGACCAAGCAGGTGGAGAATTGCGAAGGTTCAGGCTTAAAAGGTTACATCGAATCAAGGTTCCGGCTTAGTGCTCAGGAAGGGCTCCTTTAGCTCGGGTAGGGGTGCGCAGAGGTCTTAGAGATGATTTTTTGAACATCTTTGGATGGATGAACGATGAACGCTTGTAAGATTCAGGGGCATAGGGCTAGAGACTCAGACGTGTGCGGTTGCCTTATTATGTCTGTAAAATTAGAGGTGCGAAGATTTGACATTGGCCCCCAAAGAGGAGATAGTCTACTCTTACTGGACCAGAGGGCCATGGCAGTCTGAAATGCATGGGCCGCTCCTGACCGACCTGGATAGCGAGTTGACATGAATGTCTTTCTTGCTCTCCAGGCGCATGTCATGCAGCTCTGGAACAAGTGTTCCACCATGAGCTGCTCCACATGTCTATGACTGCAACTTCCCGAATCCGTCATCTTGCTGGTTGTTAGTAGAGAATGAAGAAGTAGAGAAAATGGAAGCTACTGCGTATTGGGGTCCCCTCCTCACTTCCTCCATTTCCTATTAATAACCATTAAGCAACAGACAGCCTGCACTTTTTCGAAATACTCAAGGGCGCCCTGTTATGCCCGTACCATCCCGTACCCTATCTCAGCTCAAGGTCCACTTTATGAGAAGCCTGTCAAGGATCCACGTTGCTGGAACATCTACCCAACACTACATACAGTAGAGGAACCTGGCTCAAGCTGTGGAGGCCCGTGTCACGTACGTGGATGGACGCCCGTTCCACGGGTACTGGCGAATCCGGCTTCTTGGCGGCTTGGTGATTCGTAGGGACTTGAGAGCCGTGCCGAAAGAATCATTAGCCTTTCCTAAAGCTGCATACGGCCTACTCAGACTGTACGGTCTGACATTCATTTTTGCACGTTGTCCTCAAGAGGTTTGTGCCATAGGTCAAATTGGACACGCTGCGCACAGACTCGGCTCTTGATGACGCTCAGAAGATGAGCATAATCCGCAGTTCACGAACGTTCAGTTTTATGCAGCTATGACCAGAGCCAGCAACGGAGCGCAAGAGGATTGAAAGTCGAACTTGAAAGTCGAACAGCTTAGATAGGGTTCATGCAACCAAGTGGTTTCGTCAGACTATTGGACAAATATGGGATACCGAATTCAAAGTCTGGATCTTACTCGGCAAGCCCTTCCAATTTTCCAGCGTGGCTGTCAAAGGTTTTTGGTTCTTCATGAATGATTACCTCAACCATGAGAGTTGCATTAATTTTCATTGCATGGCTCTCTGACAAGCAAAAGGCTTCAATGCGCCCTACCACAGATGCCCTGCAGAGACCTCGCAGAAATGCATTTTGTAATGCAAAACCCTCGAGCTGCGAGCCCAATCTAAATGAGCTGACTAAATTTAGGTTGGGGGGGACCTATAGGGGACTACATAGGGTTTTGGGGGGATCCTATTAAGGGATTTAAGGGATAAACTACAAATTTAGTCCAGGGCTCAAATCCCGACCCAGTCTTTGAGGCAAAGCCTCAAAAGCGCATCGGCAGCGTCTACACGAGGTGGCTACCAGGCTTTCCCTGTGCTGGCTTTCGGCTCTCAGAGTTTTGAGCACGTTTGCTTGACCACCAATCGCAGAAGTACCATGTCAACAGGCAGGAGGATAAATCTGTAACTCAAAGATCCATGCGTGGAAGATCATAGGAGGCTTCGGGCTTGCCCCTTGCTTTTCTTGACAGCATCCAAGCTTCATGTAAGGACGCAACACCGCCTCCCAAACAAGAGGCGTAAGCTGAAAACACAGATAGGCTGCAGAACGCCGCTAATCTCTCAGTCCCCTAAACCCTAAACCTTGAAAGCCAGCCCGCCATAGATCCCCAAAATCGCAGGATTTCAACTTCCCCCTGGCCGAGTTGGCTCCGTTCATTGCAAGCTTTGCCAACAAAACTGGGGTCCCAGTGGGAGGCTCCATGGCCATTGGGGAACCGGACCGGATGTTTGTTAGAATCCCGTGTCCGATTCTGGGGAGTATGGGGTATCTTGTAGAGGAGGCGATCCCTCCGTCAAGACATTGTCACCTTACCCACGTAGCGGTTTGGTATTTGCAGGTTGCTGTGCGTGAATATGGGGCACGCATAAGTTTCATGGATATTGGACTTAGCGAAGAAGCAGATTTCTTTAATGGGACACAGTGCAGGCTTTTGAAGTCTTCTACAGCTCTCTGATGTTGAATTTTGAAGTTCTGGCGGTCCATGAGCATTGGCTGACCCTCATGAAATTGCCTGCGGCAGACTGATATGGCATGGGCGTTGCTTGGCTCTCATGCGCCAAGTGTTCATGTGCGCTGCCAAACGTCCATGCTCTTTTGCATGCCCTTACAAATGTGCGGGTGCCCTTACTGGGAGCGACCCATCTGACGGAGGCGTGGACCTCATCTGGCAGGAGAAGAACCCTGACCTTCACAAGGAGCCTTTTACTCTGGAGGCAGCCCATCTGGCAGAGTGGGGGATAGTGTCGCGCCTGCAAGCATGTTGCTATAAAGGTTGGAATGATTTGAAACATACGCCTAAACTGCTCCTGGTAACCAGTAAGTAGTATCAGTATAGTTTACACCTCGAATCAAAACGAGGCCACAATCCCAGTAACTAGTAAGAAGTATTAGCATGGTTTACACCTCTAATCAAAGTTACCCGTTGATTTCAGAGGTCAGTTTTACAACCTTGCCAGGTCTCTCCAACCAGCGACATCAATCCGCCCAGTCCTCCGGACTGGAAGGAGGGCCACTGGGCGCAAATTAGGGGTATAATATAGGAATGTAATATTAGGGCATAATATTGGGGTATAACATCGGGATAATGGAAAACAAGATGGAAACTACTGTGGTTAAGGGGTCAGGGTTTAGGGATCAGGGTTCCCCATTGAAACCCGCATTTCACTCCCCAATGGAACCTATGGTCCATGAGGAGCAAGCTCAATGAAACCTTGCTACGCCCAGCCGCCAAAGTTGCATCCCACTCCTGAGGGCAGCGACATCTGTAGGAGGCCCCGGAGAGGGAGTCGCAATTCTACAGATGTCTCCCAGTGGCGCCTGAATATGTACAGCCAACAATAAAGGCAATACCCCGACATGCCGAGGCTATGCCGAGTTCAAGCACACCAAGGCATCCTGTTATGCGAGTCGGACCCTAATATAGTACTGGCCCATGTAAAGTCAGCTCTTCCCCAAGCAGTTGTCGTTTTTGGTGAACCTTTTGTCAAGTGGCACCAAAAGCATATGGGGGTGCCCCAGTTTTTGCAAGTTGCCCTACATAGGGTATATTTAAACTCCTAGTATTATAAGGGTCCCCTAAACAACCCCCTTTCAAGAGTTTAGACTATGGCTCACGTTCTTGGTCCCTTTTTTGCAGGGCTTCCGCAACGCCTACATCGGCATTCGTAGGGTGCTCAGCGGGGGGTCATTACTTAGATGGAACCCCCACCCTGTAACAGTGGTATGCTAGGCATATAAGAGGACCCTAATATCATCGCCATTATCCCTGCTAACCACCTTTGAGCCCTGAACCCTAAACCCTTATTCCTTACAGTTACTATTACTGGGTGGGGGGCTCCACCTAGGTCCTTACTTTCTAGGTCGGGCCATGGGCTCGGGACTGGTTTCACTTGCAAGTGGGCTCGGTAAGTTGGCTGAATGCTTGAGAAGACGCATCCCCTCCCCATAATTTTAAGACTCTCCACCCCCCTTATCAAATATTCCCTATGATATACTAGTCTACCACAATGGGAATATTTGATATTAGTGTTCTATATAACAGGAGGGCATTAGAAAGCATTTCGTACGGTGGCTTGACAATAAAGGTTTAGAGCTTTAACCACATGAGCAACCCCGTGAAGCCCCTTTCCTATATGAGCCATTGTCGATGTTAGGCTTATTACGGGACCTTTTAACTTAGGGTAGTCCCTAACAGAGTCCTTAGTAAGGAACCCATATCCGGCAATTATCTGGCGAGTACTCACTGTAGCTCATATGACCCCAATCGTGAGGGTGCAAGTCATCAACAACAAAATGCTACATCTGGAGTCCAAGCATTCATTGACAGACAAAGACATGGGAATTTTCATCAACTGGGGGACCCACACAAAAACAGCTTATATATACACACACACACCGAAAAAATGCAATCGCTTATTATAGGGACTCCTTAAAGGGGTCTCTAAATTTGGGAACCGAGATCTCTACCACCATGCTCAGATAATCCCAGTGACAACGTCATGTTCTATTTGTTTTTCATATCCATTAGTGCAGTAACGCTCCAGTAAATGTTAGGGGTCTATATCAAGGCCCTAATTTCCTAAAACTTAAGCCCTAAACCTTAACCCCTAAACCGTAAACCCAAAACCTTAAACACTAAACCTTGAACCCTAAACCTTAAACCCTAAACAAATCTGTTCTCCAAGGTCGCAAGTGGGCCGAAGCGATGGCTCTAGCAGTCTCCTGGGTGCATACGTATAGGGCGTATGTGGGGCTTGCATTACCCCTTTAGGGTTTAGGGTTTGGGGTTTAGGCGTTTAGGGTTTTGGGGTATCCCTTTACCGATTATAGGGGTATGTAGGGATAATGGAGAGGAAACTGGAAGTTACTATTTAGAGATTAGGGTTCAGGCCTAGTAGCACCCAATAACGGACAACTGAACGGAAAAGACACTGAACATGAAGTGGATACTACTTCTTGGTGGTTTTCCAAACTTATGTAAGTAGAGGACCCTAGGATTACAGTCGATATAGGGTTTACATGAAGACATGCATGGGAATAGTGGAGAGTCGAATGGAAAGGAAGATGGCACATCAAGTGCAAAATTGATTTAGGGTGTAAGGTTTAGACTTTCTCAAAATGGAGGCCCCAGAGGCACAAAAAGGCACATAGGGAGTATAAGGGGATTATGGTGATTCTTGTTTGGGGTTCTATGGTGACTATTAAACAGGGTAGATAGGGAGAGTGGAAAAGAAAACGGAAGCTATTATTTAAGGATGGGTTTAGGGCTACTATCCCAATAATGGAGAATCAAATGGAAAAGAAAATGGATGATGGAATGGAAGCTGGATTTTGGGTGTGGTAGCTAGATGCGTTACAGAAGGATTTTCGCAGATTTGGATACTTGGCAGGTATGTGATGAGATACCCAGGTCGACCACTATACGTTTGTGAAATATGTAAGTGCACACATGGTTTGCTAGGAATGTTATTTGGGATGTCAATACGAGGGACGATATACATTCAAACCTCGTGTGACCTATAGCCAGCTTGCTGCTGAGCAGCAATCACAGCAAGTTCACGAGATGTTAGAAGCATGCTGGTTTAGAGTGTTCTCTTGCTGCATAGGGATGAACCCTAAACCCTGATAGCTCTGAGTGAGCACAAACCTTGGGACTCTGATACGTAGTCATCTCCACACTTTAAAAGCAGCCTCCAAAATTCGTCAAACCCCCCTAAACCGCTTTAAGAGGCAAGGGTCCTTGTATTGCCCTCCTTCCATACGGTGCTTTTGCCTTCCAAGCCCCTCCCCAATGCGCCGCTGAGGTTGTGGACCGGTGGGCCTGACGCTACTTGTGGTTTACGGGTTTAGGGGCTATGTAAGGGCTACATGCATAGAGCTATGACTTGGTCAGGCGGTCAGACATAATGCTTCAGGGTATGTAGAAATACAACTCCAAAAAATGGAACCAGAAGAGAGGCCCTTTATCGGCTATTGTCCTCTTAAAAAGGGATCCACGCCATATCAGTTTAGGAAAGGGTAGCATTTGCCTGCTGCATCTCCTGCGGAGCAAAGCCAGACATCCCAACTGTTTACGAACTTGTTCTTCTGTCGCTTATATCGTGAGAACACTGGCACGTTTTGGTTATTCATTCGGCCCCCAAACCCTAGATCCAGCTTGTTCATTTGGATCCCCAAGGCAGGCACAGTTGAACGATCTCTCAAGTGGATAGTTTATGCAGCATCTTTGGGATCGATTCCTTTGAGCCCTACTCTCCCTACTCAGAAGAAGGTCTTGTGCAATATACTGTAGCCTGGTGTCTTTGCTGGGGTTTTCGGCGCATGGGGCCACTCACGAGAGTGGTGACATGCGGCTACATGTCGCCCTTTGCTGTATAACCTCATATATGGAGTTCCCGTGCCCAGACCCGGTTGAGAAACCTACTATCTGTGGCCCGTCAATGGTCAAAGTCCCGATGCAGCCAGGCATAGAAGGAGCAAGCGTCATCTCTACGTTGGCTGGCGCCTGAACAAGTCCTTGCTCTTGTTAATGCTATTCAAGGGTGTTGGCCGCGCAAACTCCAAGATCTAAATCTTTTAACATTCCACACTTCCCGCACCCCAGACCAGGTAGCAGCAATTCTGCACCTGGGCTCATTCTTCGGGCCAAGCAAACTAAGTGGAGCATCTACGCGGACTGCATTCGGTGTTGCATCCAGATGCATGCGTGCCAGTTTTGAACTGCGCTGGATTCCCTCCAAGTTCTCTCCATTCCGCACATGATGAGGAGCCATCAAAGTCTATCTCGAGACTAGTGGCATGGTGGCTATCACTGCCATCATCATATTTAGGTAGTCCCTCCAACTACGTGACTCTACCAGGACCAGTGGGTCAAATCATCTCAGTCTTCGGTGTTCTGTTTGTGACAGAGCAGTCGTGGGCATCGCCGCATCAAGCACTTCTTTTGGTGGAATTCGTTATTGATAGCTTCAGATGCGTGTCCAATCCTCTTGCTTGATGAACAGAAACCCGCGATAGAGAAATAGCAGAGATCCCAAAATTGGATGAATTAAAGAACACGATTGGATTCATCAGAGGTCCACATGGGCGCTCCTTAGAAAGTCCCGAGCAATCCTAGATCTTGATCTGCTTAGACATCACGAGGGCCCCTAAGGCTCCCTCCAGTTTGACGAATCCTTGGCATCACCGTTCCGCTTCAGGCATGGCCGCGCTGTGGCACAGGAGGAAAGGTGATGAGGCGGGTAGCTGCGGTATCTAGGGAACTTTAGTGGGGTTGCGAAAGGCTGGTCACATTCAGGAAGTTTCGAGATTCTTCTGCTCTCGATGCAGCCAAGAAATCAGATACTGTATGTGCCAAATTTTGATTTCTACGCAGAATGCGCTCATGCCTGTTGTGCCATCGTGAAGCAGGCGCCTCAATCATGGATAACAGTTTTCCGTATGGCCCTGAACAATGATGAGTCTCTTAGCCCGGAATCTTGGGGGGTGTAGGGGCACCTTTAAGTTTCGCTTTGCACGTGCAGGAGCATCTGTCCTCGTGGTTATAGTGGCAGGGGGGTTCGATGAGGGCAGAATGCACCCGACTCCAGGATCATGTGGTCTTTTCGCCCGTTTTCTGTATCCTTCTAGGGGTCCTTGGGAAGGCATCTCCAGCTCCAGCTATCGCTGCCCTTCAGCAACTTCGAAGGAGATGTAAGGGCTTTTTAAAGAGGAGTTTGTCCTTTGGAAATTTAAGGAACTATGGGGACTAAAAGAAGATGACTTATGGCTCTTCCTTGGGGGACTCCAAAGGGATTGGTTTCAATTTGTTTCTTCCTTGAAACTAGGCTCTGTCATCTTCTCCCAATGCAGCTTTTGTAGGGTTTGGTACGTAATTATCACGTAAGGAGGAAAGGGAATGACAGGGGCGCTGCTCCAAAGTCGGGTACTTCGGTGTTCACTCCAACCATTCTGACTATAAACACGAAATGGGAACCATGACTTAAATGATCTCTCCCACTTGACGAGAAGGGTGCAACCCGGGATGTTCAAGCAGTGCTCTTTAAGATTCTTTCATGGCCGTATACAGCGACAATGCGGATCAGTTTAGGATAATTGTTGCCAACAGTGCCAACCCTAGCCTTCCGCATCGAAACCGAGCAGTAGCAGGGGATTTGGCTCGTTATGGCTTCATGTGGGTATTATATCCGCAAGATGACAAACTGTACTTTGGACAGTGGCTCCATGCGAATGAGGGTATTGTTTTAAACCACTCGAAGAAGAGGTATCGCTGGGTTCCGCGCGGGAAGCGTATCCGCAATGGAATTCTTAGGATTTGCACTTGGCTTGTATCTAGGTTCAAGGTTTGGGTCCTCAACTACAACTTAGACGTGGTTCCTCTCAAAGCTTTATGGTAATGATTGGCTTTGATAGCTGTCGTTTCTCGGGTCTTACAGAAATTGCCAGTAAACTGCGAAGGGCAATTCACATTGTACATGAGGCATTCTCAGTTTCTCCTGGAGTCACAATAGATTGGAGAGAGCTTCAATTGAAGCTGCAGCTCCTGGGTGCGGCCAGGAGCTTCTTCATACGCATTCTGGCAGTGCCTGAAGATCTGGACCAGGACAACGCTGTGATGATAGTTTGTACTGCTCAATCAACAGTACAGCAGCTGCGGGACTAGGGAGTTGTCAAGCGCTCACGGCCGTTTCCATTTCTGGATAGCTGAAGCCGAAGCTCGTAGATCTCACAGGGTGGCTAGGGCTCAAGGGCTTCCAAGGTAAGAGCATAGACAGAAGGTCTCCACTAGATTTCCCAGAGAGAGCTTGTTTTGGTGTGTATGTTGAACCCTCACTTCTAATTACGCTTTAGCTGATTGCCACAGAAATGAACCTTCGCGGTGTTGAAGTCAGGCACTGGGTCCATTCTGTACATGTCAGTCATGGTATTGTTTTTCGAGCTGAACTGCTTTTGGGTTGTCGCCTCATCTAAGAGCACCTAAAACCGTACTCCCAGCGATCTATGCATGGGAGTCTCTTACAGATCATCTCTTTCACATCTCGTAAGGGCTTCTTTGTAAGTTTCCCAGAATCTCTGTATGCCTCCGGTTTCCTCAAGAGCCCCTCGACCCATTTGATGAACTTTCAGATACTGAAGGACCCGTTGAATTCAACGTTGGCCCTCCTCGCCTCTGTGGAATTGGACTATGATGCACCTTGTCTGTTTTTTTTTTGCATCTGCTCTGAGCTTCTCAAAATAGGTGCATTATCTCATGTGGTTGTTACTACCATTGTTATTCTCGTTGTTTGTTATTGTGTGTATTATGACTATTAGGGGACCCTGGATCCATGGGGAGAACCAGGGAAACAAAGAGGATCTTTCCCAAGGATTCTGCATGAGACCTCTTGAGAAACTCTCAGATCTTGCCGGATGATGTGGGAATGCATGGTGCTGCAAAGCGACCATGTAGTTGTTATGGTTGTTTTGGCAATTGAGGATGGCGTGAGGGCTAGACTTACTCAATAATACTACAGAACCTGGTTTCGGGGCTCCCTTGATTGAGGAATGTCTCATGTGCAAGAGAACCCAAACTTTGGTCTTTCCATTCAAACTTTCCGCCACCTCCAAACCCTTGTTTCTGTCTCGTGAATCGCTTCGGACTGAAAGCTCTTCTTGGTAGTGATGGTTCCATGCCAGTGCTGATACTTCTACTGCAGCTGCCACCACGACGTCGCCACTTTGCAGGATACAGGGAATTTCTGAATTAAGGTTTCCCCTGCTTCTCCAGCCAAGGTGGATTACAAACTCAAACTCAAGATTTCATGGATGACGGCCCTCGATGGGCTTCACTGAAGAAATGAGGACTCCCAAAAAGGAATCCCTCCGGCACGGGAAAACTTCCCAACAAAATCTGCCAAGGATGTGACGCTCCTCAGGCGTCCGGAGCAAAGGCCTTCGGGCAGGGGTGAGCACAGGGGTGAGTACTGCAGGATGCTCAGATTGCAGTATGCTGCACTCAAGGCTGTTTGGAAGGGTCATGAGGGGTACATGGCATCTGCCGTGACTTGTCGGAGGCGTCACTACCTTGCGAAGGGCGCAGTCCTCGTTGACGTCTTGGACAAGCAGCATTCCAGCGAACTCCAGGCCCTTCAGGCAAGCCCTGTCTGGACGGATCGGCGAAGCGTAAACTGGCTGCCCAGGATACCTTTCAAAGTACACAAGAGATGCAGACCATATCCCCGACTTAGCTTGTAGCAGACCTGGTCTATCATGACCTGGTATATGCATAGCTTGGTAGGCTCTCTACATCGGCTTGCGCGGATGTTTTGCATGACTTGCGGGTCCCGCTTGTGCTGTTTTGGGGTACCTTAAAGGAAGGAGGTTTGGGATATTGGCGTCACCTACTCATGGCCACTATCGCCCTTAAGATCCCTTGCATAGAGCCTGGAAGCCTCTATAACCTCCACCATTCTCCACCGCTCTCTGCACAACCCTTCAGACCAAGAGCCATCCCAGGCCCTGTTTAGGGTTAAGGGTTAAGGGTTCAGGGTCATCCTAGGCCCTATTTAGGGTTTCGCGGTAGGCCCTGAACCTTGTAAATGCCCTTGAAACCTCAATCTTGAACCCTAAACCTTGAACCCCCCAAAAGCTTAAGCCTTAGCCTCAGGCACTAGGCGTACACTTCATCAACTTACTGGACCACACTTGGGACCAGGCTTCGCGTGGCCTTGCAGAGGAATAGAACTAGTAAGTGGTCGCGTTTTTTTTTTAGGATTTGGGGGTGAGGTTGCATCGTCTCAGGAATCAGTGGTTTAAGGTTTAAGGTTTTCAGATGCAGGGCGCAAGGAATAAGCAAGACTGACCGAAGAATTTTCAGCAGCTTATCTTTAGATCATTGGTTCTCATGCCTCAAGATGACTGCTGAGCATCGGATACCCATCCTTTGAATACCCTGTTTAAACCTGGTTCAACCCGCCCGTGAGCTGGGGCGGTTCTCAAGCTGCGGGGCAGCATGGTGCGGCGCTGCTAGTTATCAGAGTAGAAGTAGAAGGAGTTGCAGTACCCTTGCAAAGATATCTGGGAGCACATGTACGACCAGCAGCTGTTACATTGATAGACTTCAGGCCGTTTGGCTTCAAGAGGCCACAACTATAAACAACACAAGGCAAGGGATGAACTGCACCTCTTGTTCATAGCATGAGAGCACTTCGCTACAGATCCAGGCTCATCCCTGCCAGTGCATTTTTATGTGGTTTGTCAAGTTGAATAATTCTAAGATCTCCCCCCCCCCCGTGTGTGCAATGGGATCCGCAGTCAAAGGCCCCGGAAAGCCACCCATGATCTTGAGAAACCCCATGTCCTTGCAGGTCAGGGAGTTGACCAACTCGTTGTGAGAGCTTCGAAGCCATTGGAGGCCTGGGATCTCCCAGGGTAACTCAATCAGCATTCTCCCATGTTGTGGAGATTTGTTGGGGTCCTTGTCATTTTGTGTAGATATTTGTCGTGAGTATGCAAGGGGTCCCATGGTGAGGGGAACTTGCACCATAAGACGCTACAGGTCACTGGCCTGTAGCTAGTACTCGTAGTGTCGTTCTGTCCCGCTGCGTCATTTGGAAGGAATTCCTGCCGATGGTGGTTGACGTTGCCACCTGCACAAGATGCACTGAGCTCATGCGCAAGGTAGCATGCATCGATTTGCAGCTTCGCAAAACACCTGGTCATCTGCAAAGCGATACTGTGTTCCAGGGCTGGTGATTCAGGTTCATGCAGGAAACATGCGAACATAATCGCACAGCTTTCCCTGCAACCTGGCATGCCGCAGCCTGTAAAACATCATGGACAACAGTCATTAGATAGACAACGACAACACTCATAGGATCTCTTAGGCAGTGGCATCCTGACAGTAGGTGTGCTCTGCCAGGGGATGAGCCGGAGAGCCTTTTTCTGACAAAAGGCTGCAAGATGTGCAATAACCAAATTCAGCAAACTCGTGCTCACCCACTGCGAGGTGCTTCTTTGGAAAGTTTAGCGATTTAGCTTTGAGGTGTTTGGCCTTTCCCTGTGTGGCTTGCCCCAATCCCCATCCTTGGCTTGAGCGTGGCCAATGCATTTTGTCAGGATAAGCTTGGCGGGCGTGCCCCCCGAAGGCTCACAGTGTCAAAGCAAACAAAGAATCACCAGAAATTTGGATGATGCTTGAAGTGGGGTCGATGGACTCGATGTTCGGGCTTCAGCTGCGTCTGCATAGACCGACTGAGCTTAACTGCATGCTGTAATGGCACGGTCTCTATCTTGCAAAGTGTTACAGTGTTGAGGGCAACTCACCTTAGATATTTGTCTGTGCAAGAAGTGAACATCCCCAAGTCCAAAGCATTGTAAGCATCCCTCTAGGATATCAACCAAGCACCTTTGTATTGAAAGTACGGGAACTTCAAAGTTCTCACACAGAGGCTTCCAAGTCTGCCCCTGACTGCCCCTCTTTGAGTGCAGCATGATGCTTCTCCCGCTCCGCGAAACCGTCCATAATATCGGCACCAGCTATCGCCTGGATGACTGGCACACGTGGCGCCCTCCAAGCGTCGGCATAACCTCGCAGGTCCGCCCACGACATTCGTTTAGCAAAGCGTCGGTCGTGGGCGCCTCCTTCATAGTAGGGCTATGCACTCAAACACACAAGCGAAGGCCAGTTGCATATCGATCTGCCGGTGCTTCTGCAGATCTGGGTATGCTGGACGCGCTGCATCCAGTACTCAGCGCTTCCGTCAGACGGTCGCTAGAAGAAATGCCAGACGCAGAGGTTCTTTTCATCGGTCCGAAAGAAGAAATTGGAGGAGTGAAAGGTATGCTGGGTGAGCAGAACCTGCAAAGCCTGCGGCAGTGCGCTCCAGACAGTTACGACATGCTGGTTGAGGCCCGGTCAGAGGAAGTGCTTGCAGGTGCATGGGAAGCTCGGCAGAACCGGTTTTATCCGCTGGGCGGGCACGAGTTCAGCCTGTCCAATGATTTTATCATCAACTTGGCATCAATCTCCAAAGTCCTTCGCAACGGCGGGAAGTTTTGGTTTCTGACATCTGCCTCCAGCGAGGATGAAGTCTTACCCTTCTCGTTTCTGGCCTTGCCTCACTTGGACTGGAAAGTCGAGGTGGTGCCGGACGCAGCAAACGGCGTGTCTGCAGTTTGTTGCACTTTGAACAAGCATGCTTCTGCAGACACCCTGCGCAGAACTCCAGCTGTTGTTGCGCAGGAGTGTCTAGAAGAAATGTCACGCAAGCGCTACTTCGACGCCATCAGGCCGTACTTGAAAAACAGTACAGGTGAGCAGCTGCGCGTGTTGGATTTTGGCTGTGGCGACGGTTCATTGATGTCATGGGCGTTTGACCCACAAGTTCTTGCTGAGGATGGGCAGCGCGACATAACTTTGGTAGAGTCAAATCCCGAGCTCGCCCAAAGAGCAGCTGCGCGATGCTGAGCCTGTAAGTAGCTTCCTTCTTGCCATAAACTGGACGTAGACTTTGTGGGCTTCAAGCATGAAGGTTAAACTTCCAAATCGAGCTCAGGACTGGGATCCGCAGAAGTAGTGGTAACAGAAGACGGTGCTCCTTGGCCATTTGAGGATGGGCAGTTCGATGTGGTGATATTGGCCTTCGTGCTTCATCACATGCCGCTGTCGGGTCGGGAACTGCTCTTGGCCGAGTCTGTTCGGGTCGGCCGCGAGGTCCTGGTTTTGGAGGACTTCTTGGAGGGTTCACCCTCTTGTTGTTTCAGCAATCTTTTGAAAGCTGCTAGCCGTCATAGTCATGATGATGATTCTTCTTCAAAGGACATAGAGGAGAAAGAAGCATGATAACACCATGGTAGCAGTACGCAGTCATACAAAAGAATGACAACAGTAGTAGTAGTAGTAGTAGTAGTAGGAGGCGCCCCCCCCCCCCTACCAACTATGTTTTTCCACTACCAGAGCTTTGGGGGGAGGGGGGGGGAGGGGGGAGGGGGCGGATA